ATATGTGTGTTGTCTACTTTCTTCCCCTTCCAGTTCCCTGAGAGTTGGGTTCACATGTAGGTAGGAGGAAGAAAGGAGGAGTCTGAAGCTCAGCCCTTGGGGTGGGGGCTATGTTCTCCATGTGTGTCTGTGATGGACGGCAGATATCACCTGCTGGGCTTCTCTGCTAGAGGAAAGGCCAGTCCCAGCTCTGTCATGTGGGGGCTTTAGAAACTCCCTGTCAATCCAGATTTGTGCTTCTGTTGGCTGTAAAATGCTCTGCACTAGGCAGCAGGTTCCAGCCAGCGTGCGGCTCAGGGTCCTGATCCCCTGATAGGGCTGGCCACGCTCATCAGCCTCGGGCATTTGCCCTATGACTACGCCATGAGGTTTCTTCCCTGGGGTAGCTCATGCACCTACGGTCTCAAAAATCTTCAGCCTAGCAGACCAGTTCTCAGCTTTTGTTAAAATAATAAACTCCTGACACTATTTGTACTCCAGTGTGTGCTCAAGACGTAGCCTGAGCCTTTCATTCCTAACCAAAAAGCTTAAACCCCTCACTTCTCTGTGTTAAACTGAAACTCTTCTCCCACCCCTTAAATACAGGAGGTGGAACTTCCAGGAAACCCCCAAATCTCAAGAGATCATCTATAAGATCCTAGAAGAGAGAACTCCTCAATCTCATGAACACAAAGGCATGTACGACCTCTACCCATCTTTAGTAGCAGAGGGGAGCTGTGGAGGGAAGCGGGGGCACTGCTCGCTGGGCATTGGCAGGGCTGTGTACACAGACATCAGCCAGCAGCCAAAGTTTGCCTGCCCTTGAACACACTTTGAGACGAGGCGGTGGGAGGAAAAACAGACTAAAAATATGCTGTTAGTCTCAGGGTATCTGACGCTTGCCTGAGGATATTGGCGATTGTTACAATTTAGGATGGTTCTCCCCTCTACCCTCAAAAGGTGCAATTAGGTGAAATAACTGAGCTGAGCCAGCACCTTACTGCTTCTGAGCAAAAGACTGTGATTAGTTGAAGATCTTGTCTTTCTGTGTCAATAAAGACAATGAAAGCTAGAGGATATTTCTTTGAATTATATCTTGTTTATCTTTCACAGAATCATAGAATCACAGAATGTTTGGGGTTGGAAGGGACCTCTGTGGGTCATCCAGTCCAACCCCCCTGCTGAAGCAGGGTCACCCAGAGCAGGCTGCACAGGACCTTGTCCAGGCAGGGCTTGAATATCTCCAGAGAAGGAGACTCCACAGCCTCCCTGGGCAGCCTGGGCCAGGGCTCCGTCACCCTCAGAGGGAAGAAGTTCTTCCTCATGTTCAGATGGAACTTCCTCTGCTTCCGTTTGTGCCCGTTGCCCCTTGTCCTGTTGCTGGGCACCACTGAAAATAGTTTGGCCCCATCCTCTTGACACCCACCCTTGAGATATTTATAAACATTTGTTAGGTCCCTTCTCAGCCTTCTCTTCTCCAGGCTGAACAAGCCCAGCTCCCTCAGCCTCTCCTCGTAGGAGAGATACTCTCATTCTTCATTCGCTCTCTCATTGCCTGTGTGTTTAGTATGCTGACCTTGAAGGTGATGCTGATGAGAACAGGGTCAAAGGAAGAGATTGCAGCTTTCCTGTGTGGAGGAGCACTTTTAGCATTTGCCATGTGGTTACTTCTTATATCAAATAAACCTTCTCCATTAAAGTAGTAACACTCTGCTAGCTAACACATGGACACCTCCAGTTGCTAGTATGTCTCTTAACGCAGCATTAGTAGTTCACCAAGTGTTGTGGGTTTGTGTGGCAAGGTTTTCGTAGCAGAGGAGCTATAAGGGTGGCTTCTATGAGAAGCTGTGAGAAGCTTCCCCGTGTCTGATAGAGCCAGTGCCAGCCGGCTCTAAGATGGACCCGCTGCTGGCCAAGGCCAAGTCAGTCAGCGACGGTGGTAGCACCTCTATGATAACGTATTTAAGAAGGGGAAAAACATGTGGTGAGACGGCAGTTGAGAGAGAGGAGTGAGACGATGTGAGAGAAACAACTCTGCAGACACCAAGGTCAGTAATGAAGAAGGGGGAGGAGGTTCTTCAGGTGCCAGAGCAGAGACTTTTCCCCTGCAGCCCGTAATGAAGACTATGGTGAGGCAGGCTGTCTCCCTGCAGCCCACAGAGGTCTGTGGTGGAGCAGATCTCCACCTGCAGCCCATGGAGGTCTGTGGTGGAGCAGATCCTCATCACCGGCAGCCCATGGAGGACCCCATGCCGGAGTAGAGGGTGCCCGAAGAAGACTGTGACCCCGTGGGGACCCTGTGCTGGAACAGGCTCCTGGCAGGAGCTGTGGACCCATGGGGAGAGGAGCCCACACTGGAGCAGGTTTGCTGGCAGGGCTTGTGACCCCATGGGGGACCCACGCTGGAGCAGCCTCTTTCCGAAGGACTGACTGCACCCCGTGGGAAAGAGCCACGCTGTCGCAGCTTGTGGAAAACTGCCTCCCATGGGAAGAACTCACATTGGAAAAGCTTGTGGAGAACTGTCTCCTGTGTGAGGGACCTCAGGTTGGAGCAGTTTGTATCCCACAGACTGTGTGCTGGTCACAGCGGTCAATCTGATAACCCAGCATGATCAAATCCTTGCTCTGTTCTGAGGGTGCTGTGCCTACAGCCCTAGTTCCCAGAGACTGCTGGGAAACACAGTCCTCAAAATACGGTTTCTCTAGTGCATTTTCTACAGCGTGCTACAAAACTGGAACTCCACTCCTGCCTGTTGTTTCTTAGCTTTCGTGTTTTTTTTCTTTTATTGTGTGCCACTGCTCTTTCCCCTCAGGGATACAACCCTCCTTCTGTATAACCCCCAGTTATCAGAAATATCATCCAGCAAGTGCAAAATGGAGGTCTGAGTCCCTGTTTTAACCCCCTCTTTCTGTGTGTCAGGACAGTGCTCTACACACCAGGCCATAACCATGGTGCTCCTGTTGATGGCAGGGCTCTGCATACAGAGCACTGGAACAGGCTGCCCAGGGAGGTTGTGGAGTCTCCTTCTCTGGAGATATTCAAGACCCACCTGGACAAGGTCCTCTACAGCCTGCTGTAGGTGATCCTGCTTCGGCAGGAGGGTTGGACTAGACGACCCACAGAGGTCCCCTCCAACCCCTACCATTCTGTGATTCTGTGGGTGGAAGTTTTGGGGAGAAGACACCCGAGGGTCCCCAGTCCAGCCCTCTCACCCTGCTTGAACACTGTGATTATAGAGCAGGGAGAGCTTGGTTCTGGTCTTGTTGCCAGCAAGTCTTCCTTGCAAAATGCACAATCTGTCCTCTGTACATGAGCTGCTCCAGGATGGTGTGCTAAGACTGACTGATTTGTCAAGTCTTGTCAATTTTGACCAGGCAGTGTTCTGAGTCAGGCAATCCAGGCTCCCAGAGGTGCCAGTCTCAAGGCAGATGGAAGAGCCTTGGTGTGAGACTCTCTCTGGCATTTGCTGCTGGATGTCTTTCGTCCTGGAGTAGTCAACATACTGGATTTGAGGAAGGGGATTGGATATTAGGACAAATTTCTTTACTGAAAGAGTGGTCAGGCATTGGAACAGACTGCCCAGGGAAGCGATTGAGTCACCATCCCTGGAGGTGTTCAAAAAACGTGTAGACATGGCACTTTGCGATATGGTTTAACAGGCATGGTGGTGTTGGGTTGATGGTTGAACTTGATGTTCTCAGAGGTTTTTTCCAACCTATGATTCTATGAATGCTTTTCTGCATCCACAGAGCTTTTCTGTCAAATGAAACAGGAATTTACACACCCAATGTTGTTTATTGTGAACATCAAATATGGATTTAGGCACCTTGTTCCTGGGATAAGTGTTTAGCTTTAGAGCATTGACAGTCTCTTGAGAACTTGGTTGCTGAGTTGAGGGCCCCATATACATGAAATGGAGACAATATTTCAACCTTTAAAAGTAAAAGGGAATAATTTAAAAGCTATGATGCAGTCTTATATTACTATGATCCATATAAGGACCACAAATTGATTTATGTTCAGGACAATATTAGCAAGATATCTTTTATTCCAGTGAAGACCCAGACATGAAAGAACTTATACAGGAGAAAAGCAAGTAGGCAAGCTGACTATCACAAAAAAAAAACCAAACCACCCCAAAGCCCAGCAAAAACATTAATTTGCTGACGGGAGAGTATGTAGGAGAAAGATCGCTTTACTTGCCCTGTTCTTAAACTCTTGTCATATGATAAACACGGGCAGATCCTTTCTTCACAATATTGCCACCAATAAATAAAAACACAAGGCAATGCTTTAGTTTCAAAGTGATTCCAGCATTGCAGTTTGGACTTCCTTTCTCATAAAGAGCTTAATGGACATGAATCTCTGTCAAAAGAAGGAAGCTTCCATACAACTGTGTAGAAAGTGTTCCTGTGCTCCTCTACATCCGTTACCTAAACTGCCAACAATTAGTACAAGTAACAGACTGAGAATTTTCTGGCTATGCAAGTGTTGCTAAACACCAGTAACTTGTCCCCAGGTTACCTGCTGCAGTTCTGTTACAAACATACGAAGACCTACAGGTAGAAAGATCGCTATCCAAGACATGGGAAAGCATGGGCTGGAAAAGATGATAACCCAATGGTGCTGGGTGCTGTGTGTAGGGGAGGCCAAATCCCAGGCAAATTTAAGTATTAAAAAGGCTGCAGGAGACCGTTCAGTTTCACCCATCGTGTTCTAATCCAAGCAAAACAGTGGAAAATGAAAGTGTGCCCAGGACATTTTTGTTCCAGCGTGACACAACTAGTGCAGAACTGACAGCTCTCAGATGAGGTTCGCAGTCTCCTTGTTGCCAGAACTGCACTGCTGGTGGCACCTGATCCGACTGTTCCAGGACTACTCCGGTACATCTACATGGGCCAGCAGCTCCAGTTTGACTGGGGTGGAGCTGGAGCCCAAATATTGATTTGTGAAAGTCCCGCAAGATGAATGCACAAACCTCCTCAAATGACACATCTTCTCTGGAGTGTTTTGTCCTTATTCAGAAGCAGCCAGCGCAGGCAGCATTGGCACAGATTTCACACAAATCAGCTTCTCGCACAGCCAGGTCTGTTGGAGAGAAAAGAGAGGGTTTCAGTGAGATGGCAAGAGAATTTCTTCGAGAGCAGAAACGCATACCAAGGCACTTGGAGATGCTTTCCATTACTGTTTTATGAGATTTAATGTTCCTTGAAGTTATTACTAGTATAAGTAAAGTTAGTTCTTGCAAAACTTTGGCTTAAAGAATGAAATCAAACCTGAATTCATTGGGGAAACAATGGGAACATGAGGAGGCAAGAGAACAACATGACATCTTGTGGGATGGTGGTGGGGATGTGGCTTGTAGAATAACAACATTCGTTATACTCGCAGTATTTCTTCCTAAGGTGTCCGTTGTATTGGCCAGTAGATAAATGCCACATAATAAAGCAAAAAAAGCAGACACCGTAGCAGTCAGTTCAAGAGTTGCTGTGCGTGTCTTGGAGACAGATCATGCCAAAGAGTGATGAACCTCATTTACATCTCACACCTCTTTCAGACTGCCTGGAAAAACACTTTCTTCTACACTGATTAGGGAGAGCAATTAGACCTGCTCAGGACTCGTAGTTAGCTAGAACTGAGTGATATAAACCTGCTTTTCCTGTAAGCCAGAGGAGATGGTGGGCTCTCTCGCATTAAGTCTTGCATGTCAGTGTGCAGCTACTTGGAGGAAGTTTTTTCATGGTTACGGAAGCCTGATCTGTACAGGCAAAAGCTAAGCTCAGAACAGCAGGGATTTTTTTATAAGGGCTCACAGCAATTTTCTTGTAGGGGCTCACAGCTAGTGTAGTCCAGCCCTTGCAGGAGGAGTAGTACAAAAGGCAGAAAGGACTCGCTCATCTGCTTTAGAAGTGACAGAACAGTAATTACGTTTCTTTGCCTGCTGCTATTTGAATGCTTAAGGTTGAAAAGTGTGATGAAAATGGCAACTATGCAATATGAGCTACATACTCAGCCTCTCAAAAATCATGGCTGCATCTTCTCTTTTGCACACAGATTGGAGCTCCTCAGGGAGATCTTCTTCATCACATGGAGAAGAGCTAGCCACTAAAGCTGCCATGCGAGGGTTGATGCGTGTGTTCTCATCCATAAGCTCCTTTAGCTTCTTCACAGACTCAAGGGAGAATTTCAAGTCTCCATCCTATGTAGTCAGAACCAGAAACAAGAGAAGTCAGGAAATCAGTCCTTAGGCAAATCCATTCCATTTCAAACATGATCTCTCCCAGAAACTGTACTACAGGGCAAAGATGGTGTTGAAACAAAGCCTAGATAAAATGGGCACCAGGTGAAGGCAGGATGATCAGCTCTTCACGGCAAAGACCTTTCAGAGCAGCAGTGGGACCTGGCTGGCTAGTCAGGGTTCTCGCTGTGTATCACAGTGGACAGAGGAAGAATTGAGGCATTTCTCACTCCCACGAGAGAGGCCCATAAAATCTGGGGTCGAAAGACACAGACTGGGAATCTTCAGCCTAGAAGAGGGATGACTGGGCAATACGTGGCAGAGATTTACGAAATCGTGGGTTGAGTGGCGCTAAATGGGAATTTATTTTGTTCACTCTTTCTTCTCATACACCGGCAGAGAACTTGCAGTGTTGGTTGCCATGTGGCAGGCTCTAAGCACACAAAAGGAGCTATTCCTTCACATTGCACGTGGTTAAGAGCTGAAATCCCTCACCCCAAGGCACTGGGGCAAGTTTCCATTAATTTAAAACTTGGCCACCCAATTAATGGAACACCAATTACTGGCAGCATAAATATGACACTTTGGACTCAAAGCTCATACCAAAAGCTTCAGGAGGCTAGGATAATATTCTGTGAAACATTGCTCCATGTTTTAGATTGCTAGAGCCTGTGCATCTGTTAATGGTCATTCCCTTAGTTTCAAGTGAGTCCCGCTGTTGAGGTCATAAAGTTAAGTTGCAGGTGGTGCAAATGTTAAGCTAGGTGCCTAAAGTCTGTGTAGGTCTGCAGATAATCAGAGTTTGGCCTCGAGGAGGAATAAGCATTTTCAAATTGATATTTAGCATGTGTTTTAACCTGGTTTCATGACCAGTCAGTAGGATGATGAAGTAACACCAGAATAAAAGTGCAGTGACTCTGCTACAGCATGAGACCAAATATTGCCACTTGTTTCCTAGTGTCTCAAGCCCAGTGTTGAACAGTGTGAGATTGGGGGGAGGGTAGTCGGTTTGGGTTTGTTGGGTTTTTTTCACAGAATGAGAGAATGTTGGTGTTAAAGAATTAAAAAACCCAACCAGATAAACTCTGGACATGCATTTACTTAAAGTCAAACTCTTTTCTTCTTGCAATCAGTTTATGATTTTACTAAGGTCAATTTATCAGTCATGGCTGCCTATGAAAAATTACCTTTTCCTGTTGAAATGCAGTTCTAGATTCATCTATTGGTCTTAGACCTCAAAAGCATACAACAGGGAACTAAAAAAATGGATTTCCACAGGTACAGGTTCAGAGAAACCAGAAAGTATGAATGAACCCTGAGATGTCTATGTCCTGGTGAAAAAAAAAAAAAAGGAGCAACAGAATTTAGCAATTAGACCTTAGTAGTCCAAGTTCAACAAGGAGTTGCAAGGAGTAGTCCAAGTTCAACAAGGAGTTGCAAGGAGTGCAACACATAAGCAGAGTACACTGAACATATATTGGGGAAAAAACTGAATTAATGATTAATGAGATAAGAAGTCAAACTACAAAGAGGAGCTGAAACTCCAGAGCTGCACCTTCTGCACCTGTACCCAACCTAGAAACAGCTACTCTCACTCAGTTCTTTATTTTATGCCTCCGAGTGGAAAATGGAGATTTTTTTCATTAAGAAGGAAGCTATCTCTTCCCCAGGAGACTCTAAATGTTAAGGAATGGTTTGGAAGAAACGAATAGCTTAAACCTGAAACCTCAGGATATCTCTGACACCCAGAGGAGAAGAGGATGATGTTTCAAGGCACAAAGGTAGTACATTATCGCTGGAAACCTACTGTCAATAATTGTTTAAGAAATACTAGTTCTTTTGGTGCTCTGAGGAAGTTATGTACGTGGCAATCCAAATGAATTCTCCCAAACTGTTTCTAAGAATGAGTGCAGACTGATCCAGCACATCCCAAGTACAAACAAGAGCTCTGAGGTTCCTTCTTAACTGCTTCCATCTTGCGTGTAACATCAGTGATAGGTGCTGTGTATTTTGGAAAACCTGACAGAGCCTACTCTAAGAGCTTGTGTGCCTATCAATGAGTCATTTGATCTAGCCAAGCATTTCTTTCACCTTTTTTTGTTTATATATATGAGAAGTGCATAGGCTCCATCACATAGGCTTGAAGATCATTCTCATAAAGAACTTCCTGCCCAGAAGCAGGTGAGACAAGACAATTTCTGTTTTGTCACAGCTTGTTTACGTCATTCTATAAAGTTAGAGGTGTTCCCAGGTCTTGCAGCTTCACAGCACATGGCATTGTGTGCAAAAGCAAACTCTGGAAAGGCAATGCCTCAGTCAGCAAGGAGTTTCAGAGCAGTGATAGGGCTGGTGAAGTTAACTGAACTTCAGCAGCATGTTACTAATACCTGAAGCATTTTACAGAAAGAAGAAGTGAACCACAGAATCATAGAATAGTTTAGGTTGGAAGGGACCTTACAGATCATCTAGTTCCAACCCCCCTGCCATGAGCAGGGACATCTCCCACCAGCCCAGGGTGCTCAGAGCTCCATCCAATCTGGCCTTGAACACTACCAGGGAGGGGGCAGCCACAGCTTCTCTGGGCAGCCTGGGCCAGTGTTTCACCACCCTCATGGGGAAGAATTTCTTCCTAAGATCTAATCTAAATCTGTCCTCTTTTAGTTTACAGCCATTCCCCCTTGTCCTATCACTACACACCCTTGTGAAAAGTCCCTCTCCATCCTTCCTGTCGGCCCCCTCAGGTACTGGAAGGATGCTCTAAGGTCTCCCCGGAGCCTTTAAACCATAGGGAGATGAAGTTGGATAGCAAGCCAGAGCTAAGCAAAAATTCAGGTCTGTTAGTTTAGTTCAAGATTCCTGTTGCAGCCGCAACACTTCCCATAGTATCAGTACTTTGTTGAACTTGCAATACCAACAAATGAAAGAGCAGAAAACTCACCTGGACGTAGACTGCCTGGGAGCTGTGCACCAGTAGAAGGACTGCGAGGAGTGTAAAGGACAGAAAGCCTTTCATAGTGCCTGCAAAGTGTAGCCTTTCCTTACCGGAACAGATTTTCTTTTCTCTGATTTTGGTCTTTCTCTGTCTTTCTTTTGTGTCTCTCAGACTTTCTCTCTCCTTCTTAGTGCTCAGACTACCCAGCAGTCAGAGCTGTGTGCTCCCAGTGCAAAGCTGGAGCTTTATAAAGACTTCACACAGCACCTGCTTGGTAATTCATTAATCTAAAGTCTTTATTGACGTATAATAAACCCTCAGTGGACTATCAGTTATGTGTTCATGAGCAGAGCAGGCCAGTCACACCCAGGCAGACCCTGGGGTTTATGAGTCTCTCCCACTTTGAGAAACTGGCTGTGACACAGGCAGGCAAAACATTCCAGCCTACAATAAACAAATGGTGGAGAATGATCTAACGCAACGTCTGAAACTCAGTCTCCATATGGGGAATGTACGCAGGTTTCTGGCCACTTCCTGCAGAACGGTGAGAAAGAGTGAGCTTTGGAAGGAGACAGGAAAAAAAATGGATCTCTTGCGCTGATTGCTGGCCGGTCAGTTCCCTCTTCTGGGGATTCCAGGTACAACCAGGGTAGCAATGGACCGAGGCCGATGAACATGGGCTGTGCCTGCACATACCCAGATCTAAAATGTCATCTTGCTGCCGCTTTTTGCAGCACCTAATTAAAATGCACACGTTAAAAGGCACAGGGATTGTCCTGAAGGATAAGGCTGCCATGAATCAAGGCTGTTTCTCTGTGACTTTCAGTCTTAGCCAGAAACACGGCAAGGTCACACAGATGGAGAAGCATGAACATGCCTCACTCAGCTCAGTTCTGCCCATCAAGCCCAGGGTCTTTCATCGGTGAATGATTTCTGGCATATCGTGGCTGTGGAGTAACAACAGACACCATGTCAAACAATCTTCCTGGCCCCAGCAGAACAGAGGAGGGCAACACTCAGCCACTGAGCAACTTTCTCAAATCTCAGCAATTCTTTGTGCCAATAGAGGCTTTAATTAGTTCTTACTGTATTCCAATCAATTGCTAAGATGAGAGTGAACCCACCATGTTGTTTGCTATAAAACTCCAGAAAGTACAGCTGCCTGGAGCTCCCGGGCAGTGGCCTTGTGGGGAGGGAGTGGGACTTCTCCGGTTCAGTATACCCCCTACATTTCAGCAAGGCTAAAGCTACCCCTTCGCTGACAGTGCTGGCTGCTGACTGATGACTTTGCTTCTCTCCTCTCCACCAGTCCTGTCTACTCCTCAGCCACAAAATTTGAACCACTAGAAGCATCTACCACAAAAAGGAGCTTGCTTTCTCTGCTGTTACGCTTTGTCTGCTTTGTACTGCCAAGACCAACAGCCATAACCACTTGCAGCTCCAGAGCAGCTCACGCCTCTGCCCTGAATCACTGGGGTATTGCTCCAGGGTGTAACAGTAGAGGGTACAGCACCAGCCTCCTCCTAGAAGCTTTGCAGAGGTGCCACAGCCCATTACTTCACAGAATCACAGAATCAAAGTATGGCAGGGGTTGGAAGGGACCTCTGTGGGTCATCCAGTCCAACCCCCTGCCCAAGCAGGGTCACCCAGAGCAGGC